TGGTCCCAGGTCCCATTGAGTGGGCTTTTCAGTGAGCCTGTGGGTAGTTTTCTCCTTCTGTGTTATGAGGGGTAAGCAGGCCTGCCCTGAGGCAGGAAATGTGGGTTCTCCCCCCAGTCTGCCCCCAGCCAGCTGCTAGCTTTCAGTGAATTGTTGGACCTCTCTGGATGCAGTTTCTACGTCTATAAAGCGGACGGCTTGATTTGGCTTAATACTCTTTTAGATTCTAGCCCTAAAACAGTGATATCTTCCATATTCTAGCATTCTCCTCTATATTTGATTTCCTATAATGATTTCTATAATGACTTAAATTTGTTAGAAGTGAAAAATCAGAGGAATTCTGCTAGAGTGGTTTAATTGCTACTGAGGCTGAACAACAAGTTTCTACCAGGAAAAAGGTAATATAGACATTATGTCTCAAGTTCAATAAAAGGGGAAAGAATGTGGCATAGTGTCTTGGATTATATCCCACAATCATTGTCCCCATTTATTTAAAAAAATCTGAAATCGTTTGGCAGAAAAGCAAGTACATACATCTTACCAAGGTATGACTTAAAGCTACCATTTTTCCTCTCAACCCCCACTCCCCAAAAAGACATTCTTTGCTTAGATTTCTTTTTCTTATCCTATCAAGGAAACAGCAGAAAAAACTTCCTTGCTAGCTCTTTAGTGCTAAAGTCCAGATATAGGTTTATAGTATGTTGTGCTCTCTCGTGGAAAAAGTAAGTGTGCCATCTTGCATTGCTTTCTCTTTTCTTCTCTTCACATTTTCTATGATCCAGTTTTCACAAGCTAAGCTTCCATTTAGAACCTGGAAGAAATTCTGTTCTTTTAAGTCAAGCATACACATTTGGAATTGTTCACTCTACCTCATCTTCAGAATCTTTGGGGGAAGGAGTATCCCCTGTGATCAGGCTTGGTCAGGATGCTGTTTGATCTCAGCCCCCTGGCTGTAGCAGTAGGTCCCGCCTTGGAGAGAGAGAGAGCAGGCCCCCCCAACCCCGCCCTCAGCTCCTAAACTCCTGTCTTATGGAGGAGAGTGCCTCTCCAACCACCAGGCAGCATGGTCTTCTCTTGGGCTCATCTACTCCAGTCATTTTTCTCTCTACACCACATTTTTTTGGTCCCTTTTTCTCTTTTTCATACCTCAGTGGATAGACTGGTGGGTTTCCAGGATTCCTGAGAAAGGTGTCAGCCACCATCTGTTCGACTGCTTTTCAACTCAGGAACATGAGAACTTAGCTTCTCATTGAGATTGAGGTGGGGCTCAGGCAGGGAGAGGGATGTTCACATCCTCTCTAGGAGCTGATTTCAACAGCAGTGAAATACCACGGCGGGGCCTAATTGTTTTGTGCCGGGGCTCCTTTTGGGGAAACCGAAACTGCATAGAGATCCTGGAAAATAATGAAAACCAGAGCTTCATTTCTGCTCTGGTGGATTCTCAAAGTTCATCATTTGCTTCAAATCTGTCCTACCCTCTCCCATCACTTTCTCTCTTCCCCCAGGACCCTTTAGCCTAGAAGAATGAAATAAGGTAGTGTTCTCCTCTCTCTGCTCCCATGGATTGTGGATTCACCACCTCAGCACCAATGGTCAGCCTCCTCAAGGAGCAGGGACAGAGCCCCAGGAACTGGGTGGTGGGGGTCTGATGTACAAAACGGTCAGATGCGGTCTGCAGTCTGAGGCCTGCCCGGGTCACTGGGACCATGCATCCTCCACAGGGGCAATATCTCCCCCAAATGTGATCCAGGGGGTCGTATGGGGGTGGGGAGTGTGATGGTTAATTTTATGTTTCAATGTGATTGGGCCATGGGGTGCCCAGACATTTGGTCAAGCATTATTCTGGGTCTTCGAGGGTGTTTCTGTGTGAGATTAACATTTGAATTGGTAAGGCAGCAGAGCAGACTGCCTCCCTAAAGTGGGTGAGGCCCACCCAGTCGAGTGAAGGACAGAATAGAAAAAAAGGCTGACCCTCCAGGAGCAAGAGGGACTTCTTCCTACCTGACCTCCAGGAGCAGGGACAGTGGTGCTTTCCTCGCTTCAGACTCAAACTGAAACATCAGCTCTCACTGGGTCTTGAGCCTGCTGGTCCTTGGACTGGAATGTACACCATTGTCTCCTCCTGGGGCTGCAGCCTGCCAACTGCAGGTCTCCACAATCACATGCGCCACTTCCTTATTTTATATATATATATATAATATGGAAATATATTCATATACTTATTTATATGAGTATAGATAGATAGATATGTATAAGAATCAAGTCATGCACACACATATATCCTGTGGTTCTGGAGAACCCTAATATAGGGGGCAAAAATTCTTGCATATTTTAGTGGTTTGTAACCCCCCCCCCCCCCGCCAAAAGGCCACAGTACATTAACATATTTGCAGTACACCTGTGGTATTAAAATTTCATGGAGGTGAAAGCAATTAGGAAAAATTGCTGTAAAAGTCTCCTTGGGGGTGGCAATGATTTTTGTTTTTTTTAAAGACTGAGAAACACTGCATTTATCCTAATTTTTCATGTGCCCCAGATGACTTCCAACCACCAAGATGTGCATTTCTAGCCCCAAAGGCTTTTCCTCCAACCACTGGCTGACTGCAGATAGTGTGTCAATGCCCCTACTCCCTCGCCCCTGGGACTCACATGTTTTTCAGTTTGCCCACAGGAATGAGCTCCAGTTGCCCTTTGTGGCTACTGCTTAAGAACATATCCCTTAGAACCCTCTTTTATTGTTGGTGGGAATGCAAACTGGAAAACAGTATGGAGTTTCCTCAAAAAGTTAAAAATAGAACTACCTTACAATCCAACAATCACATTACTAGGTATTTACTCAAAGAATACAAAAATATTAATTTTAAGGGATACGTGCACCCCAACGTTTATAGCAGCATTATCTGCAATAGCCAAATTATGGACATAGCCCGTGTCCATTGATTAATGACTATCCAGAAGATGTGAGATATTATATATATACAATGAAATATTACTCAGCCCAAAAAAGAATGAAATCTTGCCATTTGCAACAACATGGATGGAGCTGGACAGTATTAAGCAAAGTAAAATAAGTCAGTCAGAGCAAGAAAAATACCATATGATTTCACTCATATCTGGAACTTAAGAAACAAAACAAATGAGCAAATGGGAAAAAAAGAAAAAAGAGAGAGAGAGAGGCAAACCAAGAAACAGACTCAACTATAGAGAACAAACGGATGGTTAGCAGAGGGGAGGTGGGGGGGGAAGGGTGAAATAGGTGATGGGGATTCAGGAGGCCACTTGTGATGAGCAGCGGGTGTTGTATGGCAGTGTTAAATCACTATATTGCACACCTAAAACCAGTGTTATACTGTTTGTTAACTACCTGGAAGCTAAATAACCCCCCCCCCAAAAAAAGAACATGCCCCTTATCTACTGCCTTTCTTTTTCTTAACTCACTTCTCCCACCCCTTGCTGATTTCCCTGCACCTTCCAAACAAACCACCTGCCCTCAAATCCGTCTCAGAGGCTGCTTGTGTGGTAGCCTGAACTAAGACTACATAGACGTGTGTGTGTATTTTAAATGATTTATAATTTTATAAACTAAATAAGGTAAAGAGGACATGTGCATGAGAGAGCACGTCATAATGAACCCGATTCTATGTACCTGAGGTCTGTTTTAAATATTTTTTTCAAGGCTGGACTCTGGAGACAGACCACCTGGCTCCCCTATGTTCTAGCTGTGTGATCATGGGCTCTCTGTTCCTCAGTTTCCTCATCTGTAAAATGGGGACGACACTTAGCGCCTCCTCACAGGGTTGTGTGCACTCTCGGAAGGAGGTAGTCTGTGCAAGGTCCCCGGGCAGTGCCTGACAAGGGCCAGCCACTATCTCTGTTGTGTTGTCGCCGAGCACGTGGTCCTGTGATTGCCAGACTGTGAGCACAGGCACCCCTCTCGGTGAGACAGCAGGAAAGGAAAGCAGCAGTAAAAGCTTTACTGGGATTGTTTGAACTAGAAGTCACCTTTTGTCTAAGACAGCCCAGATGTTGGGCTACCCGGGCTAATGTGTTCTTACTGTATTAATTGTCACATTATAGAGTGTCTACCCAGAGCGATCCCACACCCCCACCTTTGGGATTCAAAGATCGCCATTACCCATAAAATCCATGGCCCGCACCTGCTTTACGACCCGCTGGGCTACTGAATCCAAACACAGAATTGTTAAACAGGTAGGTACTGGCCTCCTTTAATGAACCCTATTGGGCAATAGTTGCCTTCAGCCTGAGAAAAGTGTTCCATGTTTCTTTTCTCTCCATTGGCAGCAACAGTACAAGCCTAGGTGATGGCCTTCACCCAAAGCCTTCAAAGTGAGAGGAGCCAACTGCTTTAAATACCACCCCCCACCCGTTGGCAAGGGGGAAGTGAGGATCCTTCCTTCCTGTGTTTGACTCTCCAAAGAGGTGTTTCCCTCTACAGAAGTTCTGATTCTGAGGCCATTTATTTGTGAGTCAGAGATCCCATGAGTTGATAAAATGTTTAATACCTCTATAAAAACCTGCATGGTAATTTCTCTTTGTACCCAAAGATTTATACTCTGCAGAGACTGCTCATTAAAGAACGGAATCATAACCCACAGAACCCTCTCTTCCCCTGTTCACGTTGGAACCCACCTCCTCATCGAAGGCTCCAATTTCCCCTGCATATACTCTCTTTCTTCCTCCCCCTTATCTGGGAATACATGATTTTCTTTCTTTCCCCACGCCATCTGGCCATCACCTCACCCACAGCCTGTGGATCTTCTCTGAAATAATTGTTTCCCATAGAACAGGGGGTCAGTGACTGTTTTTTCTGTAAAGGGCCAAATTGCCAATACTTTAGGCTCTGTGGGCTCGATGATCTCTGCTGTAACTACTCAATCCTCCAGGGATATCATGAAAGCAGTGACGAGCAGTTACATAAACACATGAATGTACCCTTTTCGCAATAAAACTTTATTTACAAAAGCAGGCAGTGGGCCAGATTTGGCTCATGGGCTGGAGTCTGTGGATCCCTGCTACCGAACAACAAAAACAAAATTAGTCATCCACCCAATCTACCCAAGCATTAAAAACTGCCTTGCGTTTGAAAATAATTTTTTAATGTAATGCCATGTGCACAAGAATTTCTGTATCTATGTCTAAAGCTGCTTTGAGACACATCCAGCATTGTGCTACCACTTTCCCTATATTCACCATACTTTGTCGATTGAAAGCAATAATTACGGCCCTCGCGTTCATGCACTCATTTCATAAAAACCACAGACTGGCCACCAAGGTTACACCCGTTGGCGCATTCATCAATGCTTCTTATTTCACTTTTCTTCTTGTTGGATACAGTATAATTTTGTTTACCACATGAGGCACGGTAACAAGGTTTTTCTCTACTACGGACACACAATCAAAAGCAAAGGAGAATATTGACAGTGCTAACTTTGGCCCAGGATATCTGTATGGAAACTTTAGAACAGAAAGACAATTTCTCTGGTTATTTCCTCCACTCTCCTGAGTTCCACTGGGCATAAATTACTGGTCATTGTGATGGCGCAAATAAGACTCCATTAACATCCCCATTCTGATCTTGGTAAATAAGTACATTTATACTTGAGCACTGCTGAAGAATGAAGTCATAGAGAAAAGTTCATGGTAGGTGGTCCTGCCTTTTCATTAGGCGGGCTTTGACAAAATCCCCAGCACCTCAGCTAGACAAGCTGCTATTCACTACCCCAGGGTTCATGCAAGTGGGGGTGTGTGCCTGTTGACAAGGGATGGGTGACAACACTTGCAATCGGGGCTGGTCACCTTTCTTGTTTAATGATACGTGTTGTGGCTGTTCCTAACCCCTGGTTCCCGGGGGCGCTCCCAGTGCCTAGAACAAGGATGGTGGAATCTATCCGTTAAATTGGATTTCTGACTTACAGTTAGCAATCAAGTAGTTCTCGAAGATGGCAAATCCTGAGAAGGTGTGGCTCCAGGTGCTCATTGGAGATTGAGTGCATGAGCATGTTTCACCATCATGCTGAGAACACAACATGGGGCTCTGGCCCCGTTCCCTTCCCTGAAAGCAGAATGCACGTAATGGGGAAGCGCCATCTGAATGTTGGACCAGGTGGTGTGAACCCTCACACAAGGAAAAGCAGAAGGAAATCCCAGCTCCCGATGTTGTATATGCTCAGAAAATACATGACGATGGATGCAAATGTGAATACAGATCACCGTCCTTGCCCAGAGGAAACTGCAGCAGGGCAGGAGCCCAGCTCCCCGCCCTGGAGCCTCCTGGTTCAACGCTGGGCCCTTCTGCTGGGAAGACCAAGCCTGGTCCTGCTGACATGCTCCCTGGACAGTGGTTGGCACCCTACCCCTCTGCTGGACCAAGAGGAACACCTGTCTGTGAGAGATCAGAGCCGGATGCTGGAGTGGTCTTTCCCGGGAGTCAGCAGGGTGAGGGCAGGCTCCAGGCAGGGGTAGGGGCCCGGGGCAAGAAAGAGACCTACCATTGTGGAGCACCAACCATGCTGTGGGCATGGAGATGAGTGCCATATGTCATCTAGTCACATGTCACTGAGGTCACCTGAGACTCTGACAGTGGTAGTACCTGAACCCCAAGCAGGACAGTTTCTTCCCTCCATCCTTTTCCTGGGAGGTTGGCTTGAAACAGAAGAGCTAGAGACTTGTTATTACATACGCACATTGAAGCCTGCAATAAGAACAGTCAATGAAAAACATGTAAGAACAGACCCTACACCATTCTCTATACTTGAAGTAAGATTTCGTTCTGGCAACAAAGTAGACCCGTGTCACAGGCACAGCTCTAGGGCTCCATCCCAGAGATGGGACCTACGGCTGGCTCAGAGGCTGAGTGTGTGGCCAAGGGTTCACCATTCTGGAGACTGGTCACAGCCTGCCCTTTCCCAGCACGTGTAGCCAACCAGTGAGTCCACAGGAAGGGACTGAGCATCCCAAGGACTAGATTTAACAACAAATGGGTGTGTGTGGTTGGTAGAGAGACAAGGTTTCAAGCCCCAAAGAGCTTTCAGTCCAAAAGGGGAGACAACATGAGCCCGTAAGTAATCCCCTCCTATAACAATAACTTAATGGATACTTCCACGTACCCAACTCTGCTCTACTTGCCTTACGTACTTGAACTCACTTAATTCTCACAACAGTGCTACCGGGCTGGTACTGTTACTATTCCCATGGTAAAGATGAGCAAACAGTTTAAAGAAATTCAATCAATGAGCCAAGTCACACAACTCATTAAGTAGCAGGGTTGGGACTCTGAGACCCATGCTTCCAGAGGGGGAAGGAGAATGAAGACCAACCAACATCAAGACAGCCGGAACTCTGTGGCAAGAAGACTTTCATCATTTCCAAAAATAACTACATTTACAGAGGGTTTACATTTGAGATGTCTCATCCTCATAAGATAGGAACATGCCCCATTTTGTAGATGAGGAAACTGAGTATCAGGCGAATGATACAGCTTGGAAAACTACCATATCTAGTAGCTTGACAAAGTTGAGATTCCAATTTTGGTCAATCTGAAATCTCTCCACCAAGCCCCCTAGTGACTGACTTGGAGAACAAAGGGACACCGTGAGCCCTTCCAGGGTTCCATGATGTCTGGTTTCTTGGAGGTTTCTAGAGTTATAAGCATTTATACCCACTTATGGGTGAGGAAAGACTTCTCAAGAGTTAAGGTCTAAACATGGCAGGAGTCCAGAAGATAGGAGATGGTTACCAGTTATCTCCATGGCATTAAGTGCTAACTAGAGGGTTGTAACACCACTGGAATGCTCAGTCCAATCTGCGAGCACCAAGGTCTTTTCTATATTCTTGGAAGCTGAGATTTTTAAGGCCTAGATGTAGTCAATACCCTGGTTCATGCCAAGTGTCCTAGTCACACTACCATTAGCAAGACTACCTTTGAGCCATATGGAATGTTGAAGACTTGGTGAACAGATCAGTTTGTTTTTCAATCAACTGATTGCCAAGTGAGTTCTAAGAAGTTGCAGAGATCAAGTTTTTGAGAAATCTTCTTGGAAGAGCATAAGCTGAAAGGCTGCTATCATGGATACTGAATGTAAGTCATTACCCACTTGCTAATTGAGTCACCTGTCAGCTTGGTGTGGATTTTTGCATGCCCAGGTGCCCAACCCTTCTAGGAAAAGGGCTGGTTACCTGAAGTAACCTTGGTTGGAGGCACCAAAGGTCATCCTTGGAGTAAGTGGTATTTTAGAGGCTCTGAGGGTCGAAGCTGGCAGAATAAAATTGTTGGAAACCTCAAGGGTCACAGTCAGACACAAAGCAAGAGCACAAAGCAAAGGTAGGGAACATCTAGAGGGACCAAGGTAATTGTCACACTCTCTTATAAGATTAGATTCACCTGTGTGTAGCAGACCATCTCAATTAACACACCAGGATTACGGAAGTTGCAGAATCCACAGAAAGTGCAAGAGTGTGGTTTGTGTCTTTCTCATCTAGACCTTCCCATGTGGGTTGGTATGGCCAATCTGTTCCACAATGGTCTTAAGGACTATCTTAGGGTCAGTATGGCTGCAGTGACAAGCAAGCCCCCAGGTGTGAATGTCTTAACACAGTAAAAGCTGTTTCCCTGGTGATTTAACAATCCAGTGTAAGTGCTCCAGATCAGCAGGCATCTTTCCTCCATGTGGGTCTAGGCTCTTGTTAGCTTTAATAACTATTTGTTAGATAAATCTATTTAAGGAATGTATTCAGAGAACCGTGGACATGGATTCCTTCCATCTTGTGTTTCTGCCATTCCTCTGCAGATGGCCAGATGATGGAGAAAGTGCACAGAGGAGGGAGCCTGGACTCTAATGGGCCACATCTAGAATTCCATTCAAATTCCATTGGCTGGAAATTATTCTTTTTTTTTTTAAAGATCTATTTATTTATTTTTGAGGGGGGAGAGGGAGAGAGAGAATCTCAAGCAGACTTCCCACTGAGCACAGAGCCCGACACAGGGCTCAATCTCACAACCCTGAGATCATGACCTGAGACAAAATCAAGAGTCAGATGCTTAACCGACTGAGCTACCCAGGCGCCCCTGGCAGGAAATTATTCTAAGCTACAAGGGAGGTTGAAGAATCTAGTCCAGCTGTGTGCTCAAGAAGAAGAACAAATCACTCTGGTAAGCAGTCCTTGCTACAGGCACCCAGGATCCTTGTGGCTCCTTGCAGCTCAGTGGGACATCACCCCCAGGGTCTGGCCCTTGATCAAAAGTGACAGCCAGCACTGCTGTATTCTAGCTAGCAACCTGAAGAGCCAGGGAGCTAAATCTTTAGTAGAAGTCATCACTCCCTAAGTAATTAATCTCTTGGGTCAGTTTGCATTTTTTTTTTTTTTTGCATCTATCAGACAAAGAAAGGAATGAAGTAAAACAGAGAAATAAGGGCACGAGTCAGGTGTGTGTCTTAATTTCCTCATCTGTAAAACAGAGATGATGAGAACACTGGCTTCATAAGATTATGAGAAACAAAGGAGTTGATATATGTAAAATGCTTAAAGGCTCATACTCAGTGTTCAATAATAGAGAGCTATGGGAAGAGGAGAAGGGAGGGTGGGAGAAGGGAAAGAGGAGAAAGGAACGGTCCCTGAAGCAGAAGGTTCTCCAACGCATAAATTTACCCAGAGTTTCTGCTGGTTTCCCATTGGTCAGAACTCAGTCACATGGGCACAGAGCTACAAGGGAGGCTGGAAAATGTAGTTTTTATTCCAGAGACTCAGACACCTGGCTAAAAATCAGGGACTTTATTACTATGGAAGAAAAGGAGAACGGACATTGGGGGACAGCTAATAGTTTCTGCACGTTCACCAAGAGCTGGACAAAGGTTCGTTTTTCACAGCCACTTAGTTTCCAGGGAGCAATGAACCCCTGGGTTTCCACAACAGATGGGGACCTGAGACAAAGTCTGTAGCCAGGACTGTGGAGTGAGGGGAGGCTGGGTGCCCAATCAGGGGCAGCCCTGAGGGCTACATCATGGCTGGGGCTACTCCTCCCTGGCTGGAGCTCTCTCCATGCATATGAGCACCATCTGTCCGGAGTATGCACGCAAACCAAGCCACCTCCAGGACTGAGGATGGGCCCTGTCTTCATCCATGCCTCAATCACTCCCTTTTGTTTCCTTGATCCTCCAGCCCCCAAAGACCCTCCAGTTTCCTTATTCCTGCCTAGGACCCCCACCCGAGGCCCCATTCATGCTTGCCTCCCCCTCTGTACTTAGGGTTATAGGTTGAACTGTGTCCCCCCCCAAAATTCATATATTGAAGTCCTAACCCCAGTACCTGTGAATATGACCTTAATGGGAAATAGGGTCTTTGCAGATGTAATTAGTTAAGAGGAGGTCATATTGAAGCAGGGTCCCACCTTGGACCCTACTAGGTGGGACCCTACTTCAATATGACTTGTGTCCTTAGAAAAAAGGGAAATTGGGACACAGGGAGCGTGCCATGTGAATGTGAAGGCAGAGATCGGGGGATGTGTCTACAAGCCAAGGAATGCCAAAGATGGCCGTCGAAACGCCAGAAGGTAGGAGAAAGGCCTGGAACAGATTCCCTTCACAGCCCTCAGAAGGAACCAAACCAGCCAACACCTAGATCTTGGACTTCTAGTCTCCAGAACTGCAACAATAATTTCTGTTGTTTAAGTCCCCACCCCCGCCATCCCTGGGGCTATGGTACTTTGTTATGGCAGCCGGAGCAAGGAAATACACCTGCTCTGGCTCCAGCTTACCTTCAGGTCTCAAGTCAAGCTTTGCTCAGAGCTTCCAGACCCCGCCTCCTCAGCTGGTCCCAGCCCTCAGCTCCGCCCCCGCCTCTGCTCCCCGCCCTCCCCGTTCCAGGCACACCCCACTCACCACCCCCAATCTGCCCATCTGCTTCCCCCTGCTGCCCCAGCTCTCTCCCACTGAAACCCTGGCCACCGCTGCCGACACCCTGGCGTGGATCACACGTTCCCTTTAAGAATCCTCCACTCACAAAACTGTTTACAGCCAGTGAGTGAGCATTTTAGGGGAAGCCAGAAACTCTCGCCTCCCCTTCGGCTTTATTTGTGCCATAAAATGAAATGGAGTTGAATACTTTCTGGATAATCTGATTAAGGTTGACAGTCACACTGCATAATTAGACTATTTTTCTTTAGGGGGAGGGGTGGTGTATTTGCCAGAAAGAGCACCGCTCCTCTTGCGGATGCGTGGCTATGCCTTTCTGCATCTGAGCCGTCAGGTTAACTCGGGACTTCGGACGTATCTGGACCATCAATGGAAGAAGTCTCGATCCTTATTTACAAAACATTTTCTGGTAACTGAAATGAGAGAATCTCATGAGACAGAAACTTAGGAAACTAAACGGGATGACAAGCTGTGCAACTAGTCTGACCCATATCCAAAAAGGAAGTCCATTGCTGGAAAGCTCCCAGGCCACCCAAGCATGGGGACAGCCACCAGCTTCCCAGGACTGCCCCAGTTTCAAAAATTCACTTCCCTGAACACCCCAGGAGTTCTCATACCTATGTGTGTTAGTTTGAGGTTCAGAAAACATAGTCACCAGAGACCCAGGGCTCATGAAGGAAGCTCCCTGCTTACAGGAGGGGACAGTGGAAGGCAGGGTATTTGGGGGTGCTGACGGAGATCCGAGGAAGGCAGAGGGCAGTGATGCCACCTGGGGGGGAAATGCAGTCAAAAGTCTCCCCCCCCCCTCCAAACTGGTCGGTAAACGCCATCTGGTTAAAATGAACAGCCAAAGCTGCCTTGAAATGGAAGAGAAGTCCCAAATGGATAACCCAAGAGAGGGCCTGCAGAGGACCATCGTGGGTCCCTAACTGCCCCACTCCCTATGCTGTAGGAGTGAGCAGCCCAGGTGTTGAGCTTTCTCTCTCAGCCTTAGCCTCCAGGGAGTACGGAGGTCAAAGGCAGCGCAGAAGGACTGCCCAGGAGCCCTCAGCTGGCCTTGGAATTACGGGCAAGCCCCAAGCTTTCCTCGGGGCTGCTTCAGGGAGCGATGAGAGGCATTCTCCCTGAGCTAGTGCCGGCACCTCCGGATGTGCCCCAGTCTGGGCTCCCCATGTCCCCCGAGTTCCACGGGTCCAGGGTTCATGGCAACATGGCAGTCGTACTCGGTGACCGGGAGCCACGGCTGGTGTTCAGGCATTGCTCCCATGAGAGGACAAGAGAGACAATGCTCCCTCCTCGGCACTGGCCACAGTGGGAAACCAGGACCCCAGCCTCATTTCGGAGGAAGGGGATGGCAAGGAGCAACGGGTAGGGGCGATCCAGTCTGTGTTGCATCAGAGTTTTCTTTTGTTTTTTTGTTTTTAATTTTCAGATGAATAATTCAGTGGCTATGCCAAGGTTGAAATATTTTTCTGTTTTCAGTAAGATGTGAGAAAAGGAAATGAATTTTAATGAAATGTTTTGGTTTACTTTATCAGAGGCTTCCAGTATAGTGGGATTCCCACGCCCTGAACAGATGTCCGCTGTTTCAACCTCTAGCCTGCAAAAGGCAAAAGAGAGCCACGTGGCTGGCCTCTTTACCTGTTTACCTTGTCCTGCTCACCCTCTTGCATCCCCCCATTTCCCGGAGGGGAATTGCTGCCTGTGTGCCCCGAGCTGGGGGAGCTTTGAAGCCTTGTGAATTTCAGGACACTGACATTACAAGTGGTGATTATGATGTCTTCACTGCCACAGACCATCAGGTCTCCCGAGGTGAGAGCAAAGCACCTGCCCCACGTTCCCGGGGCCTGTACCTCCCTGGCCCATCGGGCAGAACAGGCTTTGGCAGGTGGCCCAAATTCTCGGAGCCGACCACTCCCAGGAAGGACTCAAGCATCACACAATTCCGAAAACAGGATTTGAGGGGAGGTGGAGAGATGTGGCAATCTCTCTAAAGAGAAGGCATTGCCGTCAGGTGGAGGTGATGTCACAGACATCGGAGAATATGCCAGAACATGAGCTAATGGATAGCTGCAGGTGCTGGACATGTTTTTAGCAGAAGTTTCTGAACTAAGTCAGCAAGTAACAGACCACATGGACTCTCATAAACGGGATTACTGATGGGATTCTTCCTAATTCAAGAAAACGCCTGCCTAAAATGAATTGACGTCTACAGATCAATCAAAGGAATGACTGGTTGAGCCCTGAGCACTGTGCTAGTTTGGGGGATGGAGAGGTGAAGGTAACCAGCTCCTGCCTGCAAGGGCTTATGAGAATTGCTTGTCGGGGCAGTGACCATGCATGACAAATCAAAGAAACCCCAAACAAAGTCAGCAATCAAGGGCTCCTTACCTGCCCTGGCAGGATTTCCAGCTGCCAGCATCCCTGGGGAGTCATCCTGTCTAGAGACCCAAGCAGGTGTCTAAAAAGAGAAAAAGAAGAGTAGCATTAAAAGAACATGGCTATCAAAGATTCCCATTGTCCCAGGACCTTATAATAATTCTGGTTTCATATATTCTCCATTTAAGTTTTTCCAATCATCCTATAATCGTATATCATCATTGCCCTGGTAAGAAAAGGGGGAAATATCTTTGTCCTTGTCTTACTGGTGATTTGGAGGAGACACTGGCCTGCCCAGCTTTCCAGGAGCATCTTTGCTCTGTTCTCCTGATTCAGGTGGAGGGTGGGTTTAGCAGGCAGAAAAAGCTGTGAAGTAGAAACTTCTAGTGGAAGCCAATTAGGAGGCTCCCTTTTCTCATTTTCTTTCCCTGGGTCTGACTCCCCAACAACGGAAAGGTCCAGAGGTGGCCAGTGATGGAGGGGATGCCGGGAACACAGCAAGAACAGTGGCTATGTCCACAGGCTTTGCAGATATATTGGAATAGAATATGAAAAGGGGGGGGGTCATATAGACCTGGCTCAAGGAATGGATTTGGTCTGGAAAAAAGGATCAACAGAGCAAACAAAGAGCCCCAGTGTGTAGATAGCTGCAGTTAAGGGGTGAATGAATCAATAAAAAACCAGTAGAAATTTAATATAAGCCTGAAAAAGATAACTACTCCTTCTTCCTGCCGTTAGACAGGCTGATTCTAACATTTAGATGGGAAAAGCAAATAAGCTAGCCTGTGCAGAAAAACTGTGAAAAGGGGGTGTGCAATGGGAAGGAAACCCTCCAGATCAAACATACTGCAAAGCCTCAAAAATTAAAATAGTGTGGGAACGGCTGAATAGCCAGACATACCAATGGAAGCATAGAAAATCCAGAAACAGACCCAGCGACATACAGGAATTTGATATCTGATAACAGTGGTGTCTCATTGCAGTGGAGGTAATGTTAACATTTTAATAAATGGTATTAGGACAAATAAACATCCAAAAAAGATATAGCTGGGTCCATACTTCATATTGCACATGATAAGCTCCAAGTGGATCAAAATTTAAATGTGAAAAATGAAATCATATAAGCCTAAGAAGAAAATAAAAAAAATATCTTTGAAACCTTGGTGTAGAAGAGGTCTGCCCGTGATTTAAAGAACCAGAGCTGTTACAAAATTATTATATAAGTATAAAAAGTGTCTAGAGAGGGAAAAATAGCACAGCAAAGAGATAAATAACAAATGGGAAAAAATATCTGCAACTCATACCTCCCTCCTAGATACAGGGCTCCTAGAAATTGAGAATATGAAAAACCAAAAATCTAACAGAAAACAGGCAAAAGTTTTAAAGAGAGTTCACCACACACATCCACACACACAGACACACATGGCTCATAAAGCATTTATGAAAGATGTTTAACGAAAACGATGCAAATGAACACTATATTGATGTAGCATGTTTCACCCATCAGTTTGGAAAAACCTGCAAGTTTGAGAACATACTCTACTGGCAAGGCTGTGGGTAAACCAAGCTGGTGGAAATGCAAAATGGGTCAGCTCTTAAGGAGGGCAATCTGTACTCAAAAGCCTATCAAAATGACTAATGCACTACCTTCCCAGCTCTGGGAACTTCCCCATAGTTGCACATCACGTAAGTATGCGAGAACAAGATTCCTCACAGCAACAGCATTTGAAAGGAGAAAAAAAAAGGATAAACATCTCAGGTGTCCATCAACAGCAAAGGGGTCAAACCATGGATTATCATATAGCTATTTTTAAAAAACGGGGGCGCCTGGCTAGCTCAGTCAGTGAAGCATGCGACTCTCTTGATCTTAGGGTTGTAGGTTCAAGTCCCACGTTGGGTGTAGAGATGGCTTAAAAATAGAATCTTTAAAAAAAACGAGGGGCTTTTTATGTTCAATTCTCCAAAGTATAGTAAGTGGAGAAAGCAAGTTCTGGAACAGTATGCTACCTTGCCTGAAAGAAAGGGGAAAAATGAGAGTGCATGTATTTGCATAAACAAGACTGGCAGACTACATGGGAAACTAATAAAAGAGATCATAGGGGACACGGAATGGAATAGTCAGAAACAGGAGGACTGAGACCTTTGGTCTGAGTCTGGCCCCCTAAATGAGGGCTATCCCAACCTTCCCAGGAGAACCAAGTAGATTTATTTCAATTAAGAAAATATTTTTTTTAGTCAACAGGAAGAAATTCAAATGACAGCTTGTTCTGAATCTCTACCAACCCCAAATCCTTAGTCTGACTTCTAGCCTCCACTCTGTCAAATCTCAACAAGAAATTCTAAAAAGTCTGGGATTAGCGTTTCCTGAGAAGATAAATTACAGCTGATTTCCAAGTTTAGTTCAGCTATTTGCTTAGTATAAAAGTCCAAACAGATTTCTACAAAACAAACAGTAAGATTGCACCATAACTGTGGGAATATACATACATGTCTCTCATACGTCTGACCTCATCTTATAAATATTTAAAGTAAGACAATCCTTTACGATGCTTTAAAAGGGTATGAGAGATGTATTTGTTCATTCCTTCACTCAGCATCTCCTGAGCGTGCACTGGGCGGAAAGGTCTGTGTCAGACCCGCGGGTCCCTTGCCACTAAGAGAAGCCAAGTCGCTCCGGTAGGCGGCATGACCTTCGTGGAACACTCTGGCTCACTCTCCCTCATATTCTGGGTCGTGGCCACACAGGCCCCCTGTGAATTCTTTGCCCGCACAGTCCCTCTGCTATCTACTCTCCCTAACTGTTGTGTGCCGGAAATGCTCTGCTCCTCGCTGCTTGACAGACTGACCTCTACTCATCCATCAGGGCTCAGCTCAAGGGCTGGTCACACAAAGCAGATCAGGGGTTGCCAGGAGCTGGGAGAGTGGGGAACCCAAAGTGATGGCTCATGACCCCGGGATTTCTTTTAGGGTTGATGAAAATGTTCTGAAATGAGAGATGATGGTTCCAAAACTCCGTGCAAATACTAAAACCACCGAATCGTACACTTTAAAGGGTGAATTTTGTGGTATGTGGATTTTACTCAATATATATATATATTTTAAAAGATCCCTTCTTCAGGGAAATCTTTTTGGATCAGATACCCACTACTTCTGAGGACTTGTGATACCTGTTATGGCGGGGATCATAATTATAAAGAGTAATTATGTCACTGGTTATTAAATACAGTGGTGCGCTCAGGGCAAGGTGGTGGGAAGGGTACATTGCAGAGAATTTAAAAGCAATAATAAAACCAACTAAAAGCTGATCTTCTCTTTACAATGCCATGATGTTCTGGCAGTTCTAAATAATGTCGGTGATAAAATACATTCCCCCTCCAAAAAAGGCTTTTTGGTCTACATTCTAAAAGAATCGTAGGGATTACTGTTGAGTTTAGAGATAATGTGTGCAAGCCTTCAAACGAACACATTCTTATTCCTTTAATAAACATTGTATTCTACACGGAAGTTAATTCAGAGAATTCCCAATTACCGCCAGTCCCCCGCAGATGAACTCAGCTACAGGGGTTTCTTTTGAGATAAATTTGTCATTGTAACGTAACAGTGAGACGTGGCTTACTCAGCTGGTGTTTCCAGCCCTGCGCGACTACAAATACGTGCCTTTCAACAGTAGATTCAAAGTAAACACTGATAGCATACTGATTATAATGACGGAAACGGCACTCGAGGTTCTTACTTCTGCCAGTCCATGTAACTACTTGAGTGTTTATTTGTTTTAAAATTTTAAAACCGCGGAAACAGGGAGAAGGGAAATTTTCATTGGTGAGTGCAACAGTTCGTACATGAAATATTTTACTGAATTTGATATTGAAATGTATTCTTTTCCAGTTGTTGTTTGCTTTGAACTCAAGAACAAATCCAGAAAATAAATGGTCCCATATGGTACTTGCCCAAATTGTACCTTTTACAGTTCAGTTTTATTAAAATTCACTTATTAATTACTGAATAATTACTTACATAAACTAATATTATAGGAGATGGTAACCAAAGGATCAAGGTTTAATCTTAAACAGATATAAAAACAAATAATAATCAGATTAGGTTTTTCCCCTTTTAGGCACAATAATATCTGTTCTATTTTTATTTTTCCTCTTTTTTACTGGCAAGATTGTGCAAACAAATATGCAATGTGAGGAAACTTTTTAAAAGTTATTTATTTATTTATTTTTTTTTAAAAGATTTTATTTATTTATTTGACACAGAGAGGGAACACAAGCAGGGGGAGCGGGAGAAGCAGGCGGAGCGGGAGAAGCAGGCTCCCCGCTGAGCAGGGAGCCCGATGCGGGGCTCGATCCCAGGACCCTGGAATCATGACCTGAGCCGAAGGCAGCCGCTTAACCAACTGAGCCACCCAGGTGTCCCAGTTTTTTATTTATTTAAGTAATCTCTACACCCAACGTGGGGCTCGAACTCACGACCCCGAGATCAAGAGTTGCACACTCTTCCGACTGAGCCAGCCAGGCACCCTGAAGAAATTTTCGATATGAGGAAAGTATCTGCATTTCCTTTCTGGCCATTTTTGTTATTCGTTTCATTTTGTGATTATTGCTGAAAATAATTTAGTCTTGTAGAGGAGGGGAGTATTTTCTAATATGCCTTCTCTATTTGATTAAATTAAATAGTAATATTCATGAAGGATATATTGATGAGCTACATATGTTCTTGAATATATTCCTAAATATTTTGAATGTATAATAAGGATATGTATTTTTGAATAATATTCATATTCGCTTAAAATATTCAGGAAAAATACTCTTCAATGCAAGGTGTTGGTAAATTGCTAAATTGGGTGAATTAACTCTTTGGTGTCTTAGTCAAAACTAAGATGTAGAAACTGTGAAATAATTTTTCTGTGGTCAGAGCATCTGTAGGAGGAGCTGGAATCTGAACCAGAATCTTCTAACTGGAGAGCCCACTCTCGTAACCATTATACTATATTGCTTCCGCACACACATACTACTGAAACTCAAGTTGCCCATGAAACGCCATCCAAACTGTAACTTCACCAGGAATGCTGCTCAGGTGAAGATGAATAGCCAAGTCTACACAGCTGTGGGTCAGACTCACACTTCAGCCCAATCACCAAGGATTGGGGATCACAAACAGGGAAGTCTTCAAACACCACAGACCCCACTTCTAGGGTGATTCATTGGGTTCCTCTCCTGGGCTAGTTCCTGGACCATAATTACATCATTCCTACCTCAGGGCCTTTGCACCCACTGTTCTTTGTCTAGCTTTCCCTCCTGGCTCTTGAAATAACTAATTCTCATGTTACCTCCTCAAAGAAGCCCTCCCTGACTATCGTATCTGAAGTTACCCCTCCAGGTCACTAACCAATCACTAACCACTGCCCCATTTATTTTATAGCATACAGCATTGCTTTTACTCTCCATCTACCTATTTATGGATCTATCTACATCTATCTTTGTTTTTAAATCAAATCAGTGGCTGGCATAATAGGTTCCTAATAAGTATTTATTAAGTTATTGAAAGAACGGCCAAGTGAAAGGATTAGCAATCCTGTGCTAAGAAGGATTCTGAGGTCACATCCAGGCTCAGTGGGACAGAGGACTGTGAGAAACTAGCCATGTCTGCCGTGCACAGGATGCGGGAAGGGGTAGAACACCTATACGTGCGGGGCCTGGATTGCCATATTAGCCAAAACAAGGACAAGCTAGGGCTCTCCCCACATCAGCACCCATCAACCAACACACTGGCACTGACTCCCCCACTGATGGGATCCCTCAGCTCCCTCTTCCTGATTGTTGAGGAAGGACAGTGGGTGCAGCACAAGCAGGATACTGCTCGCAGTCGACAAGCCTGATCTCGGAGTCCAGAGGGTAAAGACTTGGATCACGATTCTCACCTTCATGCAGGGACCAGGGGACTTGACTGGTGAGCAAAGCTTCCTCCACACGGTTCAAAGTTCATAGACCAAGACTCTACCAGCTTCCCACTGCCTGAGTCTGAAAGAAAGGAGTTCTTAGAACAGAGGCAAGAGAATAAAACCAGCCCCAGCTGTAGAGGATTCTCTCCTTCCCCTCCCAAGTCATTAACAAAGACTGACACTGTAGTCTTTATCAAAAAATCTTGTTCCCTAAGTGGTGATACAGAATAATTATCTCAGCATGCAATCAGCACAGCGATCTTCTTCAAGGCAATTTGTAAAATTTGTGGCAAGGATATGCATTTTTAAAATAGATTAAATTTTCAAGAGCTCGCCTCTTAAACCTGGTCAGAAAGTATTTACAACTCACCTGGTGGGATGATGCATATCTCCAAGCAGGAATTCTCTTTCATTAGGCCTTGCTTAATTGAATCAGGCAAAGTCATTTTGGGATTGTCCCAAAAGAAAACCTTTTATCTCAAGGCAAATGTGTCTTAACAAGGCCCTCCAGGAAAATAAAGCCAGGTTTCCACAAACCCGAACTCTCTGCTCCTCCTTTCAAAAGCCTACCACCCGACTCCATTTGTTTTCCTTTTAAGTGAGGACATTGCTTTCGGAGTTAAGTGTTGCCAGTGAAAGCAACAAGTTGGCCTTCCCCTCACTTGGTAACTGTTAAGAAACACCTTGTCTCCTTTCTTTTCTTCCTGCCTCACAATTAAGTTGTGCCTTTGCTGGAATGAGTGTGCTTGCGAAGCAAGGGCTTGCTCAAGGTATGATCAGGAGTCTGATTCAGCCCCCAGTTGATTTCCACTGGGTTGACTCTCGAATTGGACAAATCTTGACTGGATTATGCAAAGATCAAAGACCATGACTCTGCATTCCCCCAAACCTGGTGTAGTAGGAGCCCATCTAGTGTCGACCCTGGGCTTCGCCACTCGGCCGCCAGGACACCTGTGTTCTCCAACATTCATGGGCGCAACTGGGATTCTGGAGGCCTGGGTGGGGAGGCAGGGCTGCCCCCCCCCGGGGGGGGGCACCCTCCAGACGGGAGAAACTGGGAAGGGTAACTGCTGTGATAACTACATACTTTAAACAGGAGGGAGCACACTCCACCTCTAACAGCAATCCCCCCAAATCCGAAGCCTGCCTTGAATGGCCTGTTGCCTGCCAGTCACCCGCCGATCAGTCTCCCCTCCCCCTCGCCGGCCTCCCCGCTCCCAGCCCAGAAGCATCTAAGATTTGTCTAGAAAAAGGGACTTGTCTTTCCCCGGCACTTTTCACAGTAGGTTTCCTTGACTCAGCATAAACTCGGGTTCCAGCAAGAATCGGAGGCGGCTGGAGCGGCCTTTCCTCCCCTCCATCATCAGCCGCCTGCCCTGTCCCCGGAGCGAGCCGGGGCGCATGTATCAGATGTCACTCGGGGATGACTAATCGGGGATGCGGATGAGAAGCCTTAGAGCCTGCCGGTAAAGGAGCCCGTGCAAACTTGGAACGAGTCATCTGACGGGTCACGTGCGCGGGGCGCGGCGGGCCCTCTCCCCTCGCCCTGCGGCCCGTGACTCAGAGCGGCACCCGGTCCCCGGTGAAGGGCAGCAGTTACGTAAGCGCCAGCGGGGCCGCGCCGTGCGGCGGGGAGGCCGCGACCCAGACACCTCCTCCCTGCGCTCGGGGGGCCCCAGATGGGGGCCGGGCCCCGCCTCCCCGCCCTCCCGCCCTCCTCCAATTCCCAGGATGGTCCGCGACGCCGCCGACGTTTCCAGAACCCAACAGTGGGCCCCAGGGAAGATTCTCACGCAGCACCCCCCCCGCCCCCCCCGCCCCGCGCCCGAGTGCTAAACCCAGAGGAGACATCCCCCGTCCTGGATCCCTCCCCCAGCCCCAAGCCGGCAGGGGTGGGGCGGGGCGGGGCGGAGGCCGGGAGGCCGGAGAGACTTATTCTATTATATAAACTTGTAATTGGCTCTGGCTCCTGCGGGCTCGGGCCACTGGCGCGATGTTTCCAACCAGATGGATTGTGAGGCCGGGCAGCTTCCATTCCCCCTCCTCCCACGTCCCCTCACTGCGCAAGCCCCACCCGTCTGCCTCCCCAAGTCTACCAGAATTTCCCTTTCTTTCCCGTCCTCCCATGTATGACGGATGGCATCCAGAAAGGCACGATTATTTGAAAATGGTATTTAATTATTGAACTAACGTAGGCCCAGCCTGCAAATCAACATGCAGGAGCATCTCACTAACTCAAGTGGAAAATGAGTGATCTTAGCGCAGCGACCAGGCCTCAGACTTTTCTGCATCGGAAGGCCCTGGGGGGCTTGTTAAAACTCAGGGTGCTGAGCCCCACTCCCAGAGTCCTGCTCACTAGGTATGGAGCAGGCGGAGGAATCTGCTTTTCCACAAATTACCAAGAGATGCTGATGCTCGTTGAACCACTCGTACAGACAGGGGTGGGGCTACAATTTATATTGTACATTTTAAAATGTACAATTTATAATGTATATTATATTCCTGAACGAGAGGTCAGGAAGACCAACCTCCTCTCAAGGACTCTCTGGCATTTTAGACGTGTTCATTTACAAACAACAAACATGTTCGTTGTAAATCATAACATCCATCCCTGTGCATGATGAAACAACGTTTCACAAGCCCCACAAATTAGCAACCGACGTTGACTCAGTCCAAGAGTTTGGAAATCAAGTGTTTTATAGCAGGAGGTGACCTCAGAGACTGGCCAGGCCAAAACCTCACCTAACAGGTGAGAACCGAAGGTCGGCAAGGTTGGTGGGCTGGTGGAGAGAGCTGGGAAGGCCAGCATTCCTGGAAGCAGGTGTAACTATCTGCGTATATTCAGACCCCCAGCTCCACCACTGGTTAGCTGTGCAATCGCAATTTTCTTCTCTTTCCTAATCTGTAAAAAAGGACCAAAGTCTATTTTGCTGCAGCATTGTGAAAATTCTATATAATGTTTAAAACCCGTGTAATTCAGATCAGGCTGCCCCTGTGTCATACTATGCTATTATTATTTGTGGTCAAGGCCACTGTGCTAATTAGTAGGTGAGCTAGGACTCAAACTCAAGACCCCTGACTTCTAATCCAAAATAATTTTTCCACTGCCCTACTGTGTAGGGAATGTTTCTTTTTTAAAAGATTTATTTATTTGAGAGAGAGAGCACAGCAGGGTGGGGGAGAGGCAGAGGGAGAAACAGACTCCCCGCTGAGCAGGGAGCTGGATGAGAATGCAGGACTCAACCCCAGGACCCTGGGATCATGTCCTAAGCCAAAGACAGATGCTTTGCCAACTGAGCCAGCCAGATGCCCCTGTAGGGAATGTTTCTTTAAAAAACTATGTGCCTGTGGTACTTAACCTCAATCATTCCTCTGATGCTGGAGCATTTTCTCCTAATTAGTGCAAATAGTTGAAGTGTGTTGGACTTTCTGGTTGTATATGAGCCTGATAGAAGTAACAGTCACAGCCCAAGAACCAGGAGGATTCAAGATGCCCTCTAGAGCTTTTGTGAAATACATACCCTGAATTGACTTACTCCATTTCTCCCTGCCTTTTTTTTTTTTTTAAAGATTTTATTTATTTGACAGAGAGAGACACAGAGAGAGAGGGAACACAAGCAGGGGGAGTGGGAGAGAGAGAAGCAGGCTTCCCGCAGAGCGGGGAGTCCGATGCGGGGCTCGATCCCAGGACCCCAGGATCATGACCTGAGCTGAAGGCAGACGTCCAACCACTGAGCCACCCAGGCGCCCCTCTCCCTGCTTTTTGAAACTGATGTCTTTAATTGTCGGGGACCGGGGGCAAGTGTTAGCTAAGTGACTCTTATCATTGCCCCACCATAGGGCAAATATCCCTAGGACTAAAGAATCTTTGAAACTTCAGGCTGGAGCTTAATATTGCCCACTCTGAATCCCTGAACAGGTGAGATTAGTGCCTAAATCACTTTCTCTGTGTTATTAGCGAACAGGCCTGCTAGTCACACCTTTGCACCTGCTTTTACCAAGCCCTTGGAGAGACCCCCTGCCGCTCAGAGTCACAGATCCTAAAGGGTTGGGGGAGGGAGGAAAAGCAGTCAGATAATCAGGGTGACTAATTGGATCTATAGAACCCAACGTGGCACAGAGCGCCATCGTGGGTACATGGGTATGTGGCATTCACATTCCTTCAAGAAATGAGATGCTAAATTGCTAATAGCCTCCCTGGGGTTCGGTTCCCTGCTGCGACGCCTTCTAGATTTTGTAGGAGTTTAGGCGCATTAAAATATCACAGCGTATGCTCACACGCGAGGCATTCACTCATGTCCTTGACATTGATGCTGAAATTCCATAAGGAAGAAAAACCTCTTTTCCATGTAATCCAACTGCAAGATGGTATCAACAGGCACTTCCAAATGAGATCACGGTTACCCGTAAGCACCATGGGACATCTGAAGCTTCCAAAGTTGTTATAGTGACACACAGAACAAGTTTTGAGCCGGCGATTTTAATTCTTAGAATTTGTGCTTTTTCCACACTGTTTCCTTTCCTCAGCTCTCCAGACTGGCTCTGATTTGGCCTTCAGTTTGATTTCATCATTGCTCTTATTTTTAATTCTTCTCTCTCCCTCACCCCCATCTTAGACTTACTTGGCCTTTAAGATGGTGACTTTCCACTTTGGTTCCCAAGTTGGATTATGAAATCAAGTTGTTTTAAAATCCAGTTGGGCACACCAAGATTTGTGTGTCTAATGCGTGTCTTCAGGTAGGTGGCGTCTGTAACTAGATAGGGATCTGTTTTAAATCAATAAGCTGGTCTGAATATTTATTCTGAATTTTCTCAAGTTATTGTCCTAAAGCAGTCACTTATTTTCTCTTTCACCTTGATATTTCCCTCTTCAGTCAGTAACTTTTGTAGCCTGTCCTTAGGCTCTTTGACAGAAAGATTTTGATTTACCTGAAGAGCACAGTTCATATTTCTTAGTATTTGCAAGTGAAGTTTTGATTGTTTTTGTGACAATTATTGATATATGTAATATATCCAGACCTGTCGTTTACAGATGCATCCAGAGGGGCAGAGTTGATATAAAACTAAAATAATCACTCATTTGGCTCCCTTTAAAAGTTGTAGCATGGTTGTTCCCCTTGGGTTAGGCACTTAGGTGTTAATTTTTTTTTTTTTTTTTTAAATGCAGCAAGCTTACTGAGAACCTATGTGTCAGGGAATCTGGTGATGGTGGCAAAATGTAAAACAGATTTGATCCATTGTACCACAGTGGGAAGCAAAGTCAGGGGCTCTGGAAGCCTGAGGAAGGGCATCTGACCTGCATTTGGGAGGCCAGGATGGCTTCCCAAATTTATGCTGAGCCCCAAATGAAGAGACAAGGGAAGCTGCAATCAGGCCAATCCCAGGGTGAGTATGTTTGACTCAAGTCAGGGGTCTTGAGTTTGAGTCCTAGCTCACCTACTAATTAGCACAGTGGCCTTGACCATAAATAATAACAGCATAATATGACACAGGAACACCTCTTCTGAGTGTTACCAGAAAAAGAAGAGTTTGATGGACAGAAAAGTGGGTCAGTGAGTTAAGATGGTGCTTGCAAGCATCTGTTATATAGGTTAAGATCTTGTTTGTCTACAAATAACAAAGATTTAAAAACTAGTATTTGAAACAGGTAGAAGTTCGTCTCTCACACATAAACAAAAGCCAGAGGTGATATGGAGGCCCTATAATGCCCTCCACCCAAGGTCCTTCTATCTTGTGGCTGCCATGCATGATCTCTTGGTCTAGTATGGCTGCAGGAGCTCCAGCCATGACATCTTCATTCCAGGCAGCAGCAAAAAAGGTGGAAGGGAAGGAAGGAAGGCCTTCTCCTTCAAGAGGATCAAATTTTATCACATTGTTCCACCTAGCTACGAGAGGGGCTAGAGAGTAAGGCCTTTAATTCTATGGCAATATGCCCAAGTGAAGTCAGCACTGTTAGTAAGGAAGAAGGGGAGGTATTGAGAAGCAACCAGCTGTCTCTGCCAGAGTGGTAATTGTGGGTGGAGAGAAGGCTGTGTGAGCAAAGGAGGGAAAGAAAGCTTATCTTGTTTCAGGGAATAGATAAAGATAAGTAGGTCAATTTGGCTTAGAGTTAGGTTTGCCAAGAGATAAGGCTGGAGAAATAAACAGATGCTAGGTTGTGGGAGGTCTTATTAGCACTGCTTAGAAGCTGGAGCGTTATCCTGAGGACCATGGGGAGCTGTTGAAGGAATTCATCCTTGAGGTAGAGGGTGAGATGCACTGGGAGGTGAGGACAGGGGCATCATTAAGAGGTGACAGCCTTTCAGGAGAAACTATAACAGCATGAACTAGGCAGTGGCATGAAGGACGGGGAGACACAAACAGATTTTAAAAGATATTAGAGAGGTAGAACTGGTCAGTTGTAGGTGGTAAGAGAGAAGTGGCCTAAGATGGGGATACCCAGCAACCTGAGTGGATACAACACCATTCACTAACATCACAGGGAATGCTGGAGAAGTTGGATGGTGAAGATGTGCTTGGTTTGGATCTCTGTCCCAAAAGTTATATCTACACATTCCGTTTGGGTTGATCCATTTTCTAGCAGCTTTGTTGAGGTTTAATTTATATACCATAAAA